AAGATAAAAGTTTCCCCTGACATTAAGTCTAGTCGTGTCCGACTCTGGGGGGGAGGGAAGAGGGGGGTTGGTTGTGCTCACCTCCATATCTCAGCCAAAGAGCCAGAGTCCTCCGGGTGGGTTAAACCTTTGTGCTGGCACGTTGTTGTTCATTCGTTCAGTCGTCTCCGACTCTTCGTGACCTCATGGACCAGCCCACGCCAGAGCTCCCTGTCGGCCGGTCACCACCCCCAGCTCCTTCAAGGTCAGTCCAGTCACTTCAAGGATGCCATCCATCCATCTTGCCCTTGTTCGGCCCCTCTTCCTTTGCCTTCCACTTTCCCCAGCATAATTGTCTTCTCTAAGCTTTCCTGTCTCCTCATGATGTGGCCAAAGTACTTCAACTTTGTCTCTAGTATCTTTCCCTCCAGTGAGCAGTCGGGCTTTATTTCCTGGAGGATGGACTGGTTGGATCTTCTCGCAGTCCAAGGCACTCTCAGAACTTTCCTCCAACACCACAGTTCAAAAGCATCTATCTTCCTTCGCTCAGCCTTCCATAAGGTCCAGCTCTCACATCCGTAGGTTACTACAGGGAATACCATGGCTTTGACTAGGCGGATCTTTGTTGCCAGTCTGATGTCTCTACTCTTTACGATTTTATCGAGACTGGACATTGCTCTCCTCCCAAGAAGTAAGCGTCTTCTGATTTCCTGGCCACAGTCTGCATCTGCAGTAATCTTTGCACCTAGAAATACAAAGTCTGTCATGGCCTCCACGGTTTCTCCCTCTATTTTCCAGTTGTCAATCATTCTTGTTGCCATAATCTTGGTTTTTTTGACGTTTAGCTGCAACCCGGCTTTTGCGCTTTCTTCTTTCACCTTGATTAGAAGGCTCCTCAGCTCCTCCTCGCTTTCGGCCATCAGAGTGGTGTCATCTGCATATCTTGAGGTTGTTAATGTTTCTTCCAGCAATTTTCACCCCAGCTTTGCATTCATCCAGCCCGCACATCGCGTGATGTGTTCTGCATACAAGTTAAGAAGGTTGGGTGAGAGTATGCAGCCTTGCCGTACGCCTTTCCCAATCTTGAACCAGTCTGTTGTTCCATGGTCAGTTCTGACTGTTGCTACTTGGTCCTTGTACAGATTCCTCAGGAGAGAGACAAGGTGGCTTGGGATGCCCATCCCACCAAGAACTTGCCACAATTTAATATGATCCACACAGTCAAAGGCTTTAGAATAGTCAATGAAGCAGAAATAGATGTTTTTCTGAAACTCCCTGCCTTTCTCCATTATCCAGCGGATATTGGCAATCTGGTCTCTCGTTCCTCTGCCTTTTCTAAACCCAGCTTGAACATCTGGCAACTCTTGCTCCATGTCTTGCTGGAGTCTTCTTCCTTGCAGGATCTTGAGCATTACCTTACTGGCATGAGAAATAAGGGCCACTGTACGGAAGTTTGAGCAGTCTTTCACATTTCCCTTTTTTAATATGGGGATATAAGTTGATTTTTTCCAGTCTGATGGCCATTCCTGTGTTTTCCACATTTGCTGGCATATGGCATGCATCACATTGACAGCATCATCTTTCAAGATTTTAAACAGTTCAGCTGGGATCCCATCGTCTCCTGCTGCCTTGTTAGCAATGCTTCTTAAGGCCCATTCAACCTCACTCCTCAGGATGTCTGGTTCTAATTCATTCACTACACCGTCAAAACTATCCTCAATATTATTATCCTTCCTATACAGATCTTCTGTATAGTCTCGCCACCTTCTCTTGATCTCTTCAGCTTCTGTTAGGTCCCTGCCATCTTTGTTTCTTATCATACCAATTTTTGCCTGAAATTTACCTCCAATGTTTCTAATTTTCTGGAAGAGGGCTCTTGTCCTTCCTATTCTGTTGTCTTCTTCCACTTCCATGCATTGCTTATTTAAAAATAGTTCCTTATCTCTTCTGGCTCACCTCTGGAATTGCGCATTTAACTGGGCATATCTCCCCTTATCACTGTTTCCTTTTGCTTTCCTCCTTTCTTGGGCTACTTCCAGTGTCTCAGCAGACAACCATTTTGCCTTCTTGGTTTTCTTTTTCTTTGGAACGTACTTTGTTGCCGTCTCCTGAACAATGTCGCGGACTTCTGTCCATAGTTCTTCTGGGACTCTGTTTACTAAATCTAGTCCTTCAAATCTGTTCTTCACTTCCACTGTATATTCGCTAGGAATGTTAGTGAGATCATATCTAACTGGTCTGTGTATTTTCCCTGATCTCTTTAGTTTTATTCTAAATTGAGCAATAATAAGTTCGTAATCTGATCTACAGTCAGCCCCAGGTCTTGTTTTCACCGACTGGATGAATGTCCGCCACCTTTGACTGCAAAGGATGTAGTCAATCTGATTTCGGTGTTGACCATTTGGTGAAGTCCATGTATAAAGCCGTCTTTTAGGTTGTTGGAAGAGAGTGTTTGTTATACACAGCGAGTTTTCCTGGCAAAATTCTATCAGCCTGCGTCCCGCTTCATTTTGTTCTCCCAGACCATGCTTGCCTGTGATCCCTGTTGTCATTTGACTTCCCACCTTGGCATTCCAGTCTCCTGTAATGAAAATAATGTCCCTTTTTGGTGTATTATCCAGTAGATCCTGCAGATCCTCATAGAACTGATCTACTTCTGCTTCTTCAGTAGCTGTGGTTTGGGGTGTATATTTGGATCACTATAATGTTGAAAGGGTTTCCTTGCACTCCAATTGAGATCATTATGTCATTTTTTGGGTTGTATCCAAGCACTGCATTGGCGACTTTATTAATTATGAAGGCTACTCCATTTCTTCGGTGTTCTTCTTGTCCGCAGTAGTAGATCTGGTGACCATCTGATGTGATGTGTCCCATTCCGTCCATTTCAGTTCACTGACCCCCAATAACATCTCACCAATAACAACATCCAGTTTGCCCTGGCTCATAGATCTTACATTCCAGGTTCCTATGGTGTGTTGATCTTTAGAGCATCGGATTCGTCGTTCACCTCCAGTACCGTCGGCCGCTAGCCTTCCTTTCGGCTTTGAGCTAGCTGCATCATCACATCTGGGGCTAGTTGAACTTATCCTCTGCTCCTCCCCAGTAGCATTTTGGCCATCTTCCGACCTGGGAGTCCCATCTTCCAATGGCATACCGACATATCTCTGGTTGTACTGGTCCATTTAGTTTTCTTGGCAAGAATACTGGGGTGGTTTGCCATTGCCTTCCCCAGGGATCACGCTTGGTCTGACCTCTCTGCCACAACCGTCCCGTCTTGGGTGGCCCTTCACGGTTTCGCTCATGACATCATTGAGGTGCTCAAGCTCCAGCGCCCCGACAAGGCGGTGATCCTTTGCTGGAGTGTGCTGGCACAGGGGTCCTCAAACTAAGGCCCAGGGGCCGGATGCGGCCCTCCAAGGTCATTTACCCAGCCCTCGCTCAGGGTCAACCTAAGTCTGATCTGACTTGAAAGCACACAACAACAACAACAATCCTATCTCATCAGCCAAAAGCAGGCCCACATTTCCCATTGAAATACTAATAAGTTTATATTTGTTAACATTGTTCATTTTAATTATTGTATTGTTTTAAAGTGTTTTTTACACTACAAATAAGATATGTGCAGTGTGCATAGGAATTCATGTTCAAATTATAACCCGGCCCTCCAACAGTTTAAGGGACTGTGACCTGGCCCTCTGTTTAAAAGGTTTGTGGACCCCTGTGCTGGCAGGACTGAAGACCATCAGGTCGGAGGTTCGAATCCGGGGAGAGTGTGGATGAGCTCCCTTTATCAACTCTAGCTCCCTATGCAAGGACATGAGAGAAGCCTCTCACAAGGATGGTACAACATCAAAATACCCGGGCGTCCCCTGGGCAATTTTCCTGCAGATGGCCAATTCTCTCACACCAGAAGTGACTTGCAGTTTCTCCTGCAGAAGCGGTACCTATTGATCTACTCACATTTGCATGCTTTCGAACTGCTAGGTTGGCAGAAGCTGGGTGTAACAGCAGGAGCTCACCCTAACCCACCGGATTTGAACCGCCAACCTTTTGTTTGCCATTGATAGTTGCCACTAAATACATAGCAGCAGCTGGGCTGTAACATGAGGTTATATAGTTTACTAGCCAAGAAACAATCAGGGACAGCTAATCACCTCTCATGAAGTGACTGGACTGACCTTGAGGGAGCTGGGGGTGGTAACGGCCGACAGGGAGCTCTGGCGTGGGCTGGTCCATGAGGTCACGAAGAGTCGGAGACGACTGAACGAATGAACAACAATCACCTCTCAACAAAGGATTCCCCCAGGCAGTAAGAAGCCAGACTTTGAAACTGCTAGGCCATGAAATGCTAATCAAAGTGGCCAATTGAAACATTGACACTTGGCTCCAACAGACAAGAGTTCTTTCTTCCTGGACATTCCACAGGTATATAAACCCAATTTTCCTAATTTCCAACAGACCTCTCAACCTGTGAGGATGCCTGCCCTATAAGCTTCATTCCGAAAAACGCTGCACTCGCAGAGCTCAGGTGGTGTTGTATTTCGGTGTGAATGTTGACTTTGGTGGAGAGGTGGCTACCAAGGTAGCGGAAATGGCCAACATTTTCCAATGTTACACCATTAAGCTGTATTTCTGGCATCGTATAGCGTTACCTGTGCTGCCTTGAGCCCAGATAACACCACTCTCAGCGGGCACCGCGCAGGTGGATAGGGCGCCCCCTCCTCGCCCCCATAGGACATTATGAGAAAACAGCTGTTAAACAGGGAGACGGGGGGTGGGCCCACGTCGCCGCCTCCCTTGGCAAGGGGTTGGGGCGGCCCACTGTGACTCAGGCCCTTGTCCGAGGGAGCGGTGGGCCCCCCTTCCCCGGAGGACCGCTCCCACCGAGGCCGAGAGAGGAGAGGCCGGGGATCCCCCGTGCAGTCCCTTCGGGCCGGCGTTGCCCCTTTAAGAGCGCTGGGTTGAATGGCTCCAAGTGCGGCGGGTCACGTGACGAGGCCCGGGAGGAGAAAGGAGGGCTGAGTGAGGACGCAGCGCTCGGCTCGGGAGGAGGCGGCTCAGGCGGCTCAGGCGGCTCCCTCCGGTTCCTCTCTCTCCCCGCTTGTGCGTGAGTACACCGCGCGGCTCCCCCGACCTCCTTCTCCTCCTTTGGGCTCGATCTTTGGGCTTCTTATTTTAATGTTGTCTCCCTCCCCAATCGATCCATTGATGGATTGCTCAAGGTCCCTGCCCACTCCGGAGACCCCGAGCCGGGAGCGAATTGAGCCGCGGTTCCTTTAAGACGAGGGGGGAGGGGGGCCAAGCGGGAGGGGGGAAACCCTGCTCTGCGCCCTTTATAGTCATCCTTCCGCCCTTGAGTGCCTTCATACTCCCCCCCCTTCCTTTTTCATTATCCCTCCCTCCCTTGCTTTCACACCGATTCTAATGCGATTCTATCCCGGGATAAGGAGGAGGAATACAGGAAGAGCATCCCTACCTATGCACCATCTGTCTTATCTATCTATCTATCTGTATTGGCAACCTCTCTTTACCTTCATGGCTGTCCTAGAGATCTATTCCAAATCCCTCCATTAATTAATTAACATGTTATTCGCCCATATTCTGGTTTAAATGCCTCTTCTGGTTATTTTTAGTATATAATAATAATAATAATAATAATAATAATAATATATTATTATTATTATTATTATAGAATAATAATATATATTGTTATATATTTTGTTTTTATATTATTATATATTTATTTTTTATTTTTATTATAATCATATTATATATTTATTTTATTCTATTTTATTATAATTCTATTTTTTAATTTTTTATTATATAATATATATTTATTCTATTATTATAATATAATACATTGTTATTTTATTTTATTATAATTATATTGTTTTATTATATCATAATTATAATTACATTGTATTATTTTAATCTATTATTCTATATTGTATTCTATTTTCATTTTTATTCTATTATAATTATATATTTTTATTATATTATAATTATAATTATATTGTTTTATTATATCATTATAATTATAATGATATAGTATTTTATTTTTAATCTATTCTATATAGTATTCTATTTTCATTATTATTCTATTATAATTCTATAATTCTATCTTCATTTTTATTCTATAATTCTATTATTCTATTTTTATTTTTAATCTGTTCTATATTGTGTTCTATTTTCATTATTCTTCTATTACAATTCTATTATTCTATCTTCATTTTTATTATTTTATTTTATTATAATTCTGTTATTCCATTTTTATTTATATTCTATTATAATTATATAATTATATTGGTTTATTATATCATTATAATTATATTGGATTTTTTATTTTTTAATCTATTCTATATAGTCTTCTATTTTCATTTTTATTCTATTATAATTCTATTCTATTTTCAATATTATTATAATTCTATTCTATTTTCATTTTTATTCTATTATAATTCTATTATATATTTATTTTTATTCTATTGCAATTATAATTATATAATTATATTATTTATTTTTATTCTATTATTATATGTTTATTATCTTACAAACATAAATACAGATATTACTATATTTATTTTTTTAAAATTACATTGGGCCACATGCAATAGTGTGCCTTGCTCACCCTCCCTTACACAAACCTCTTACGTATCTATGTGAGTAATTAATTATATGTGTGTGGATGTATGTGTGTGTACGTATATATGGGGAAGGGGGAGGGTGTTGAAATACTCTGTATATTAATCTCTCCTCTAAGCAGGCTTAGTTCTCTCTGCTCTGCAAACTGTAGCCTTTTAAAAAAATTGCTTTGGGTCTAATAATAATAAAAATACATAAATAGGCCCTTCTATCTTAAATGTTTTTTTTTTCCTTTCCAAAAATGATCCTGATCTGGAATTTCCCGGCCCTTTTTTGCCTCCCTTATTGGGTGCCATAGCCTGAGATTAAATAGCAACCCTTCTTTCTCTTCCTTCTTTTTTCCTCCCTCCCCTTTTATTCCTTCTGTCTTTCCCCCCTTTTAGATTTGGCACCTTTGGAAAGGTGAAAGCAGCAGTCGGTCGCCTTCATTGGTGGCTCTGCCAACTCATTCCTGGCGAAGAGGGCTTTGGGGAGAGGCGCCCTGGAGAAATATTATATATATATATATATACACACACATATAGGATTTAAAAATAGCCTTTTTCGATATTTTAAAAAGTGGGGGAGGTGAGGAAGACGCAAGATGGCTGGAGGTGGTTAGGAGGATTTTTTTTATTTGATGTGATGATAAAAGCAAAGCAAAAAAAAAAGGCACAGCAGCTGCGGCTATATAAACTCAATTTAGAGCCCTCCCCTTCTTCTCTCTCTCCCTCTCTCTCTCTCTCCCTCTCTCTCTTTGCAGGGTGGTGCTATCCATAATCTGCCTTTCCTATCTATTTCTTTATTTTGTTTGTACTTTGTAAAGCAAAAGGAAAAAAAAAACACTAATTAATAAAAAAAAAAAGAAAACACAAAACCCACCCTGCTCAAAATGGCTGAGGACGGAGTGAGTGAGTGAGAGAGTCCTCTTGGAATTGTACATTTCAGCAGTTCCCTTTCAGCCTGTGCGCTTCTCTGTCCTCCTCCTCCTCCTCTTCCTCCTCCTCTTTCTCTCCCTCCTCCCTTCTTTTTTCAGGCTGGTTCCAAAAGGAGAAATAGCTTTCATGTCAGAAGGAAAACAGAAGCAAAGGGGAAGAGGCGGGGGCTAAGCTCTTCATTAGCAGTTGAGAAATTCCTTTTCAGTTTGATCAAGGCATACTTGTTTTCCTTCCAGTGCGAGCAACCCATCACTCTCCCAAAAAGCCTGGGGAATTTTGGAGCGGGGAGTTATTGTTTTCCAGTTCTCTCCGGTTAATCCGAGAAAGAGATTTCACAAAGACAGAGTCCCAGAGAGTGTTTTAAAAGAGAGCAGGTTGATTCTCTTGGTTGAATTTGTCTCCGGCGGTTTGCACTCTTCCGATTCCTTATTTTTCTTCTTCTTCTCTTCTTCTTCTTCATTTGTGAAAAAAGGAGCAAAGGATGGGAGGGTCCCTTTGGCCCTGGACTGGAATTTCTTCTGAATGATTGACTGTCTTCCCACTGAGATTGCACTGTCCCAAAGCCAACGAAGAAGATTGATTTTTATTTTTTCTGCACCATTCGGCTGCATTCGAAGTTAGCCGTTTTGTTTTTTTTTCATCTTGAATTTGGATTTTATCTTCCAACTTTTTTCCCTGTGGTTTAATTAAAGACTTGAACTTTGAACTGTGTTTCAAGAGAGGAAAAAAGGAACTTGGAAAGGACTTTTCTGGAGTTCAATCAGGAGAGAGAAAAGTTCTTTCAAAACCTCAAAACATTGGGTAGAAAGTCATGATACGTTGGCAACATTTCCCTTAGAAGGTTCATATGGCATTTGGACTCATTCCCTCTGGATTTTGTATGGGTATTTTTCAGCGCTCGGTAAGTTTGGCTCTTTGGAATCAGAAGTCAAAGCTCTGTATGAGTTAAAATGGTTGGGGTTTAAAATATTAGCAGCATTTCTGCATTTTAATCTTTAGTACTGATAATTAATTTCATTGCATCTGTTAGATTCTGCTGGGTTTTCTGGAAGGGAAGCTTTGAATTTTAGGAATTAGAGCTGCATTTAATTTATTTTTTATTTTTTGTTTGATTTGTTAGCAACTTAGTGGCCTTTCTGTTGCAAAAGAGGACATTCATCACCATCTGCATTGGTAGACCAAAAAAACCCTGATTATTTTAAACGAGAGATTTTAAAAAAACACAAATAAAGCCCCACATTGGAGTGAGACATGGCTGAAAACTGGAAGAACTGTTTTGAGGAAGAGCTTATATGTCCGATCTGCCTGCACGTCTTTGTGGAACCTGTCCAGCTTCCTTGTAAGCACAATTTCTGTAGGGGATGCATAGGAGAGGCTTGGGCCAAAGAGGCAGGGCTGGTGAGGTGCCCCGAATGTAACCAGGCCTACAACCAGAAGCCCAACCTGGAGAAGAACTTAAAGCTGACCAACATCGTAGAGAAGTTCAACTCGCTCAACTTAGAGAAGACGCCCTCAATCTTACACTGTGTCTTCTGCCGCCGGGGCCCACCTTTGCCTGCCCAGAAGATCTGCCTGAGGTGTGAGGCTCCCTGCTGCCAGTCCCACGTCCAGACACACCTGCAGCAGCCCTCCACAGCCCGTGGGCACCTCCTGGTGGAGGCGGACGACATCCGAGCTTGGAGCTGCCCCCAGCACAATGCCTACCGGCTGTACCACTGCGAGGCCGAGCAGGTTGCCGTCTGCCAGTTCTGTTGCTACTACAGCGGGGCCCACCAAGGACACTCGGTCTGTGACGTGGAGATCCGGCGCAATGAGATCAGGGTAAGTGAGCATGGAGTGTGGCCTTCCTTTCAGGTTCCTTGCTTTGTGTCTGCAGTGTGCTAACAGTATGGTAGCCAATCGAAGGCCACCAATAAACCAGAACCCTACTCCAGGGGTTACCAATCTTTGCAAATGGGGAGCAAATCCAAATGTGATTTGCCAAATCTGTTCAGAGTCCATATTCACATCAGTGTGAGTGAGCATGGAGCATGGTCTCCTTCCATTTGAGGTTTCTCAATTTGGGTCTGCAGAGTTCTAGCAGAATGTTTCATGGCAAAATAAAATAGAAGAAACACCAACAAACCAGAATCTTTCCCCAAAGGTTCTCAAGTGTCTGAAAACTCCATGAAATAATATTTGTCAAATCTATTCAGAGGCTATATAGCAGTGGTTCTCAACCTGTGGGTCCCCTGGTGTTTTGGCCTACAACTCCCAGAAATCCCAGCCAGTTTACCAGCTGTTAGGTTTTTGGAAGTTGAAGGCCAAAACATTTGGGGACCCACAGGTTGAGAACCACTGCTGTATTGGCATAAAGTGAAAAAGTGGTGGTGCAGTGAAAGTTTTTTCTCTCTTGGTTCTGTTTTTGATTGTGCGTCAACTGGATCAATATTGCCCCAACAGTTCTCCAGTTCTGCCAAGAATAGTTTTTATCTTTAGAGAGTTAGGCCTCATCTACACTGTAGAATTAATGCAGTTTGTTGCCAGTTTAACAGCAATGGCTCAATGTTAAGGAATCATGGGAGTTGTGGTTTGGAGAGGTACCAGCACTATTTGGCAAAGAAGGTTAAAGGCCTTGTAAGACTACAACTCCCACGGTTCCATAACATTGAGCCATGGCAGTTGGAACTAGTATCAAATACATTAATGCTACAGTGTAGACGTACCTTTAGTTTGCTCCTTTGACTCAACTGTAGCCTATTACTGTCACAAAATGAACTGTTCCAGCCAAAGGTGACCTTTCCTTTTAATTCTCTTTTATGCAAGGCCGACAAAATAGATTTTCCTATCGCTGCCAATGAGATTTGCTGCATGTTACTGGGTACGGCTGTGCTCCACCTTTGCCAGTGCTGACGTCTGAGGTGTGGGGAAAATGAGGAAGTAAACAAAAGCTGACATGATCTTTTCAGGGCCCATTAAAAATGCATCAAGGGAAAGAGACCCTCACTGAACAGGATGTGATGAGGAAAGGGAGGGGATAAAGCAGCAGGAATGTGTGTGGGTTGTGGGGAAGGGGGGCAAATTGATCCCTTTGATTGTGGCTGTTGAGACAGATGTGTGTGTGCTCTTGCAGGCCTGTGTAAAGGGGGTGGATTGTACGATGGTGGTCAGCGATTGTTTTTATCACCCAGTGCAAACAATGGCATCTCTTTAAGTCTTTTAAGTCTTCTGTAAACAATACACAGAATAGGAGGAAATCAGCTTAAGCTACCGATAATTTCTATATGGTGGTTAGATAACTGCAGGTCTACTAGTGAGTTGAAAGAGTCTATGTGGGGATATATATATATTTGTGATTCTTGGTAACTTCTCCCCCTAGATTGCTGTAAAAAATAAAATGCAATTTGCACTGTGGCTCATCCTGGGAACCATTCCTAAAGGCCTGACCCCTCTGCTGCTTTCACACAAGAGTGGGGCGGAGAGGAAATCCAAAGAGCTTGGAGGGTCGAGTGCCCTGAAATCTGGTTCCAGGCAGCTTGGCTCCCAGGGGTTGTGGGAGCGCATCCTGGCGTACAATGCATCCCCTCCTATTGTAAGGCCTGTCAACATCAAGTCACCATCCTCCTCCCCCACTCCTTTCCCTGTCTTTTCTGGCTGAGCTCCTAGGAAGCGGAAATTTCATAGGAACACAAACATGTCCCTTCTCTTTCTCTCCCGTCCCCCACCTTCACCCCCGTTGCCTTGGCTTCACGCTTTGGAGGGACGTGCGAGGCCATGTCTTCCTGGCTGTCCAGATGGGAAGGGTATTCCAGTGACAAGCCATTTCTTTGGCGTTGGGGGAAGGGGCTCTCACTGGAGCAAACCCAACAACTTTGCCCTAACAATGGTGCGGGTGGGAGGAATGTTTAAGAAACCTGGTCTTATTCTGCTCTAAGCTATTCTAATGTTTTTGGCCTTTGGAAATGTCAGATTACGAAAGGGGAAAATGACATGCATGAATGGAAGACTGGGGCAGAAAACCCCTGTAAAGAATAATGCGAAAGCTGATTGGAGAGGGATTCTTGGGATCATTAAATGCAAATGAGTTGCCCTTCTAACAGCCTAATTATATTTCTTGAAATGATGACTAAATGGTGGAAAACTTCCCCTTGTTTGGGGATGGAGCGAGGTTGCAATCTACGTTTGGGGATTGTAAGATTGGAATCAAGGAGTGGTATTTTACTCCGGGTTAATACGGAGTTCAAGGGTGTGATCTTGAGTATGTAGCATGACTCAAAGTATCGTAAGGCAGCTGTCCTGGAATTTAGGCCTTATTATTTGTCTTTTTTTCTGATTAGGCTCCTCATCTCCAAGGAAGCTGCAACACACAACCCCTCAGATTCCACTCAGGCACCATTGTGTAGGATAAATATTTAACAACAAATGAACAAGGGTGCCTGTAAAATAGAGGCAACTTCCTGTGTATTCGAATGCTGCCAAAATGACTCACCATTTAGCCATTAACATGGGGAAGAGGTGGTGGTGGTGGGGGGGAAGACAGAGGAGTCGTAAATAAAACTGCTATCTAATTATTTTCCAATTGGACAGCCAGGCCCTTGTGCGGATGGGGTGGGGGCGTGCTGGGTAGAAAGAAGAGCTTGTGAGCTGGAACAGGAAGGCTATTTTTTCCTCTCCTGGGTTTTTGGGGGAAGCCAAGGACCTCGGCGGAGATGCCGGCGGCTCTACCACGCCCACACAGGAAGAAGGAAGATCCAGCGAGACTGTTGGGAAACTCAAAGGGCTGCCTTCTCCCTCCCCTCCTCCTCCTTCCTTTCTATTAATAGGTGCCCATAAGGGAAAAGAGGGGAGGAATGCTGGGCCAAGCAGAAAAAAAAGATGCCGTTCCCCCCTCTCCTGCCACTGGATCTGGGAGAGGCTTGCTGGTGACGTGACTGCCAAATCCCAGTGGCGATTCTGTTCAGAGCGAGCTTGTTTTTAATGAGTCAATTTTCAGGAATCTTTAGTTTTGTGTCCACACCCATCTTTTTTTCTTTTCTTTTCGCTAGAAGTTTGCCCTTGTATGTGTGTGCCTCTCTGTTTGTTTTCTGTTTTGCTGTAGGCTGGCAGTGTGGGAGCCTGCAGTCTTCTTGACCCATTTTAGAATGCCTCTGCTGTGGGTAGTCAGGCTGCATTCTGTGCGGGTTGCTTGAAAGGCCTTGCAGTATTTCCTGTGGGGATTTTCCTGAATAAGCAGCAATAGCCTCCAGCAGCTCAAGCAGATGGACGCCATGTCCTTGAGGTGGGATGGGTGACTTTGGGTTGTAGTCTAGGTACCTTGCAGCGCACAATGTACTGCTTTGTGTATTGAGTATAGCCAAGAATATTTTGTTTTGTTTCTCGTTACAAAAAGGATCACCATTTAGAACATAGGGAATTTAGCAGACCTTGGAGAAGTTATTTTTGGATTATAACTCCCAGAATCCCTGAGCTGTTATGACCACTGACCTCATTATTTGGAGGAACATGTTGTCCAACAAACTAACATTTCCAAGCTCTTCTTAAAGGCTAGTGTACCCCTCATACGTTTGTTTAATCTCACCAAATCCAGTGTGTGCCATTTTTCTTTTAACAGCCTAAGGAAGATTTCTCTTTCGAGGTTTCCTATACAATATTATTTTGTGCTTTATCCCTGAAGTATGTTGAAATTACTAAAACTGAGACCTAAATGGCCATCTTTAAGGGATTCTGCACTTGCATCCTGTTTTACAGAAACTTATTGAGTATGCAAGAGGGATAGATTAAAAAGGTCTAGTTGTGTCTGACTCTAGGGGATGGTGCTCATCTCCATTTCAAAGCCAGAGCCGGTGTTGTCTGTAGATACCTCCAAGGTCATGTGGCCAGCATGACTGCATGGAGCAGTGTTACCTTCCCGCAGAAGGGGTACTTATTGATCTACTCACATTTGCATTTTTTGAACTGCTAGGCTGGCAGAAGCTGGGGCTAATAGCGGGAATCCGCTCCCCGGATTCAAACCACTGATGTTTTGATCAGCAAGTTCAGCAACTCAGCAGTTTAACCCACTGTGCCACAAGGGGGCTCATGATCTAGATCAGGGGTCCTCAAACTAAGGCCAGAGGGCTGGATACGGCCCTCCTAGGTAATTTACCTGGCCCTCGCTTAGGGTCAACCTAAGTCTGAAATGACTTGAAAGCACACCACCACCACAACAACAACAACAGTCCTATCTCATAAGCCAAAAGCAGGCCTACACTTCCCATTGAAATACTAATAAGTTTATATTTGTTAACATTGTTCTTCATTTTAATTATTGTATTGTTTTAAGTGTTTTTTGCACTACAAATAAGATATGTGTAGTGTGCATAGGAATTCATTTTTTTTCCAAATTATAATCCGGCCCTCCAACAGTTTGCGGGACTGTGACCTGGCCCTCTGTTTAAAAAGTTTGAGGACCCCTGATCTAGATTATCTTTATTGCCCCACCAGCTTGTGTAAATACGATCCCATCACAAACACTCATCAAGCTTAGTTTATAGAATCCATAGAGTTGGAAGAGACCTTGTAGGCCATCCAGTCCAACCCCCTGCCAAGAAGCAGGAAAATTGCATTCAAAGCATTCTAGTGCTTTGTTAGAGGTGTGCTGTTCGCAACAGCTGTCCACATTATACGTTCCAGAATGATGTTGATGTATGAGTAACTGCATTTACTCACAGTTATTCCTATTTCCTCCCCTTTCTTTGCTTTCATCTACTGTTGAAATTTTAGTTGTAAACGAAGTGGGGCAAGGACTTGCCTTTTCGTGTGTATTTTATTTGCTGAATGCCAAGTTGGTGATATATAAAATG